GATTACAAACCTTTTGGAACTGTAAGCTCCACACCTGTTCCCCACTCCCGTTCTCCACACCTATTAGCCCTCGTAACCCCCTGCGTGCTCCTATAGGCTTTACCAGTGGGCGTGCTCGCCTTTGCGTCTCCCTTTTGCCTCTCCCCATTACTGCGCCCTTCCCGTCACTCCTCCCCTTTGTGGCCGCCCGTCGGTGGTTCTTTGCATTGCACGTCAGCACAGCCCCACTCACCGCCTGCTTCCGCTTGTGTACTGCTCATCACCAATCATCCCTGACTAACCCAATGCACGCCGCCTATGCAGAGAGCTGCCGTCAACCAACATATGGTACACGGGAAACATCACCAGCACCAAATTCCCCAGGCTCGTGAAACTGTACGCCACTATTATCATTATCACCATGATTATCACCACCATCATCATTATCACCATTGCTATCACCAATATTATCACCATCATTAGCACCATGTCAGTCCACACAGCATTCCATTCTCCACGTTCTCAATCATTACCATGCTTCATGCTTCACCTGTGCCACTGAAAGCGCTCAAGAAACCCCACACACTCCTGCTGCACCGCATAACAGGGACCTGAGCTTCAACCAGATTCAATCCTACAACCGTGTCTACCTCAAGATTCTGACCTGCCTCACATCACTGTCAGTCCACTCCTTTATCACTGTCCGCACACACATCATGCAAGTAAGGAACCGTCTCATTTATCAACGCTCAATGCTCTCGGGCATGTGTCTGATTCCTCAATTCGATCCAATCAACTCAGTGCAAATCAAAAGTGCAACTGGCCATGCGTTCAATCAGTCTAGTTATCCCAATTCATTCATTTCTCCCTTGCCATGCCTCTCTGAAGGTCACTCCAACACCATGCCAGCCTGTTTGCCTGTCAGGTTTCATCCACCAGCCTGTTTGATGCCCTTCTTCTTGTGCCTGCATCACCATGCCCAACATGCCTGTTTCTTCTGTGGGCATGCATGCGTGTTGCACTTGTGTGGCGCCATATGCATCGACCAACAGGGATCTCGCATACAACAAGCTAAGCGACGACCAAGTGCTGCTGACATCACCTTTCCCACCTTGCGATTCTTGTACGTGCTGCCATTTCTCCCTTCTATTCGTGTGTGTGCTTCGATGGATGGATATCTCCTCCTGTCAGCCGTTGCTGTGCGGCTGATGCTGCAATTCTATGGTGCACTTCCGCCTCTGTGCTATTGACTCAATCTGGTCTGCTGGTTCATGCACGCGTGCACCACTGCTGCTGCTGCTGCTGCCGCCGCAAACATTTTCCCGTTTCCATTGCACCTGTCCCCGTCTCTCGTCTGTGGACATGGAGGTGGGATTTGTTGACTTTGCATCCCACTCGTGGAGCTTCCCCTGCTCCGCGTCTATGTTTGTGGAATCCAGATATAATCCTTCCATGCCCCCATCTCATCCTCCATTCCCCCCTCTCATCCTCCGTGCCGCCCTCTCATGCTCCATGCCTCCCTCTCATGCCATGCATGTGCCATCAGGAATCTTTCCAACAACCAGCTGAATGGCACTCTCCCGGAATATCTCACAGCCATGACTAACTAACCTGGTCGGCCTGTGAGTCTTATTCTCTTAGCACTTATATATCTCCATAAACGTTTCCCTTCCCTCCAAACATGCATTTTGATTTCACAATGTACATACCCGCACATAAATTTGCAATGCTATTTGTGTTAATCACTTGTTTCCGTTCTTCCAACGCATTTCCAACCACTCTTGTGTGATGGGGACGCCGGGGGTCCCGTTCTGCCTGTTCCATACTGCACCCCTTCGTGTAGTGAGTCTATTTTTGAAACGACTGAAAATTAGGCTCTTGTGTGATGGGGACGCCGGGGGCTCTTTACAGCAGCCTGCTCCAAGAATGTGTATAGGTCTTTTGTAACCAGATCCCTTCCCCTTCCGCACCCCCTTTCCCTCGTTCTCTGAGGCCCTTCGCCCTGCTTATGCATGTGTGCAGAAACGTCGCTTCCAACTATCTGGAAGGAACCATCCCCCCTGCCCTTGGAAAGCTTAATAAGCTTTTAACTCTGTAAGAAGAGAAGTGTACTGATCCAGTAGTCAAGTGGCAGTCAGCTAATGGGTACATCCTTTGCAGGATGGTAGGTAAGCAACTAGTCTGGTGGATAGCCAAGGCAAGGACCGCTACGCACAAAAGCATTCAGTGGGCCAAACCACTTGCTCTTCCAATGGAACAGAATGGTACAAGGTTGGTCAACCCTGTTGAGGTTGGTCACCTCTGTTTCAGGTTGGCTAAGTTTGTTATTAGGTTGGTCAACTCTGATCAAGGTTGGTCAAAGTCTGTTCAAAATTGGTCAACTCTGTTCAAGGTTGGTCAACATGCTTACAACAGTATGAAAGTGGAAGGGAGGGAAAGAGGTTGGCATTCTCTCTGCCACGATCTTTTGAGCCTGTACCCACCCCTTCAAGTGCAAGGCCCTGTAGGTAGAGGGGTGCAGGTGGAGGGGTGCAGGTAGAGGGGTGCAGGTGGAGGGGTGCAGGTGGAGGGGTGCAGGTGGAGGGGTGGAGGTGGACGCGTGCAGGGGCGAGGCTCTTCTTGTAGAGATTCAACGCCAATGCTACCTCGACCGGCTCGACTGCGTCTACCTGGGACACACCTGACGAGCAGGACCCTGAGGGGGGAGAGGGTCTACCTACGGAGAACCTGGCGCAAGGAAGAGCGGCAGCGGGGGGAGGGGCGCAGTGCGGTAGGGGAAGAGACTGTAGTAAGGCATCGACTCGTCAAAGGTGACGTCCTGAGAGGACAGAACACGACGCGATGTGGGGTGGTAAAACCGCCAACCAGGCGTGTCAGGGGGGAAGCCAAGGAAGACGCAGGGAACAGCACGGAGGGACAGCTTGTCCGCAGACAAGTCGCGGAAAAACGCCCGAGATCCCCAGACCCGAAACGCAGACGCATCACCAAACTTCCCCGTCCACCGCAAGGTGGGGGAGGTCTCTGGCAAGGAGACCCGGGTTGAGCTGATGTGCCGCGTACTGAACAGCAAACGACCACAAAAATGGGGAGCAGCCGCATGGATCATGGATGTACGAGCGACGTCCATGACCATGCCAATGCGGCGCTCAGCAATCCCATTTTGTTGTGGAGAGGCCGGAAGCGTAAAGGTCTGGCGGATGCCTTGTGCACGACATAAGGCTCCCAGACGGGCAGAGGAAAACTCTCCGCCTCTGTCAGAGTGCAGATGCAGAATAGGAAAGTCCGAGCCGAAACTCTCTCTCAGCTGGAGACAAGCTGCGCGGATCCAGTGGATCAGCAACTCAGTGACGTCACCCTTGCTGCGCTAGGGAAACACCGTGGTGTAACGCGAGTAGTCGTCAACCACCAACAGGAAGTAACGCTCGTGACCCTGGCCACGGACGTGGGCGGGGCCCCACACGTCCATGTGAAGCGTCTGCAGGGGAGCCTCTGTCGGAGGAAACTCGGAGGAGTGAGGAGCGGCGCGCTGCCGCCCCTTGATGCAGGGGACACAGGTAGGGGCCGGCCCCGGAGGTAGAGGAGGGAGGGATCAGGGGAGACCAGAGACAAAGACACAGGAGGCCATGCCTCGGAGACGAGGCAGGGAGGTGTGACCAAGGCGGTGGTGCCAAAGGAGAATCTGGTGAGACAGAAGACGACACGAGCAGGGCGCAGACTCAGGACCAGACCTGGACGCTGTAGCAAACACCTGACTCGACGCAGCTACCTGACCAGACTCAGTAACAGGAGGAGACTCAGTGGTCAGTGTGTACAGGCTCAACCCTCGCTGACGGGTAAACGTGGCCAAGTGTCGGACTGTCCGAGCACACGTACAGTGGGTCACCTGCTGACTCGCAGGTGTGAACTGGTCAAACCCCCGATCCTGTAGATCAACTCCACTCACCAAGTTTGTAGAGAACGAGGGGAGGTAGTGACCTGACAAGGTATCAGAGAGGGCTAGCGGACACGGTAAGATAGGCATGATCATTAGGCCCGACCCGACCCGACCCGACTTGGGCGGGCCAGCCGGGTTCCGGGTCGGGTCGGGTCGGGTCGGAACTTCAAAAGATCTTGGCCCGACCCGGGTATCGGGTGCCGGGTCAGGCGTGACCCGCCCCCGGGTCTGGTCGGGTAGGGGCCGGGTCGGGTCGGGTCAAGCTAGGACCCCATATGCAGTGTAAGAGGTTCCTAAGTTGGAAAAAACGCTAGTTTCAAGTTGCGTATTGAGTTTATACGCATCTAGAATTCGTACGCTGCGGATTTTTCTAAAATTCGCCAAATTTGGCTCAGGCTGACCGGAAAAAAAAAATCAGATGAGTTCGCGATCTGGCGAACTCAAATTTGAGTCTAGAAATTCAGATCTAAGTTCGCGCGTTGCTAAAGCAACTTCAGATCTGAATTTCGAGATTGTTGGTGGATCATTCCCTCTTATCCACCGCTCACAACCCACCTTCACCCCATCCAATTTGTTGCCAGCTTCTACCAGACTCACTCAATGTCAGGCCGCTTTTCCCTTCAATAATCTTTGCTTTCGATTTCTTCCTCTTCATTTTGACGATGACCTACTACAGCAGCAGTTAGGTAATGGATTACTACGGCAGCTCCGGTCTAGGGTTTAGACATTGACTTCGCGATCTGCTTCAATGCAACTTGTCGAGGGAATGTCAATGTCGAGGGAACAAACAAACCCTAGACATTGACTTCGCGATCTGCTTTAGTGCAACTTGTCAAGGGAGGAAAAGTCGGGTTGGGCTAAATACTCGACCCGACTTAGGGCACGGTACCAGAAACCGGGTCGGGTACGACTTCGGGTCTAAATCTGACCCGACCCGACCCGGTTTCGGGTGTCGGGTCGACCCGACCCGACCGGGTAAACCCGACCCGACCCGGCCGGGTCAGCGCTTCAAAATGCCTGACCCGACCCGAGTCAAAACCCGGGTCGGGTCGGGTCGACCCGACCCGCCGGGGCAGGATGATCATGCCTATGGTAAGATCGTGGAGAAGCTATCAAGAACAAGACCCCCAGAGGGGTCCGCCAGAGAGACCGCAACCGGCCGACTAAGCGGCGTAAGTGTGGTGCGGTCTCGAAAGAAAGAGCGGGAAGCACCCGAGTCAAGGGTGAAGGTGTGCAAAGTCTGAGCCGACGTGGTACCTAAGAGAGCAGACTCACCAGCACCTGGGGTAGCAGACGCTCTAGCACCTGGAGCAGCAGTCTTACCAGCACTTAGAGCAGCAGCCTCAATGCCCAGGTCAGGCGGAACACACAGGTAACAGTCACCCTCATCACTAGTAGACACAGCATACATGGCAGCAAGAATAGCATCATACTCAAAATCAAAGATAGCTACCCCCGCCCTAGACCGCTCTCCCCAGCGAGGGATCTCAGTGGCGTCAGGGAACTGATGACGCCAAGCGTCCGTCAGGTGGCCGAAGCAGCGCTGGGTGGAGTGCGTGCCCCTGGACAACTCACCAGCGCGGTCGCCTGTACGGAGGACGTAGGTGCAGGGACCAGTACCCCCACCCCGCTGACTCCCAGCGTACCACTCACGAAACTGCTGAGGGGACAAGGTCTCACGACCGCGCTGCTGCTGCTGGCTCGGACCACCACTGGAGCCACTCCTCTGCACTGAGCCGCGACCAGCTCCACCGCCACCACCGCCGCCTCCGCCACCACCGCCGCCTCCGCCACCTCCGCCGCCTCCGCCACCGCCGCTCCCTCCGCCACCCCCGCCGCCTCCTCCGCCTCCAGTGCTGCCACCGACACCTCCACCCCCGCCACCACTCCCACTACCACCCCCACCCCCTCCACTGCCTCCACCACCACCTCCACCGCCCCCACTGGCCCCCCCAGCGCCTTTGCCCCCCCTTGCCCTTGCCGGTGCGGCGCTTCCTGCTACGGACAGACGCAGCGCCGACCGACTCGAAGCCAACGAGGTCGGCCGCAGCAGCAGAAGCAACAGAGGGCAAGAGGGGGGAGGGAGAACACCCCTCAAAGATGGGGGTGCGAGGGTCACCACGAGAGGCTCCTACAGCGACTATGCTCTTTTATGCTGCTAGGAGGGCCTTCTCCAAGAGGTCAACGGTGAGTGTGGTGGGGCAAACTGAGAGGAAGTGGTCCCTGACTAAGCGAAAGGAGTCACGGAGCCGGGTGACTATGTAGTAGAGAGTGATGTACATGGGGGGGGGTTCTTGGCACAGAACTTAGCAGAAAGCGCAGTGCCGTAGCGAGCGTCGCTATTGCGAAGGTGCGTAATGAGGTCAGTGACTGTGGAAAAAGCAGCAAGGTCAGGGAACAGGTACGGCAGCATGAGGCGGCTAAGTGCAGCAGTGGCAGAAGAAGAGTAGCGTGCAATTACAGCGTCGTACAAGGTCTTAGCACTCTTGTACCGGCTAAAGTGCGCACGCTCAATGGTCGGTAGGTGGCGACACACAGCAAGACGTGCAGCAGCATCACGTGTGGCCCAATGTGAGCGAACAGTGCTGTCAGCAGCAGCAGGCGGGGCAGGAGAGACACAAGAGGTGAGATCGAACAGTGAGAGTCCGTCCGCCCTATCGCACTGTAAGAACAGCTGGAGGTCATCGACCCAGACCTCAAAGTCAACAGCACGACCCTCAGTATCAAAGCTAAGGACACTGAGGGTAGCCATGACTGCAGTGGTCTATCAGGGAGTGAGCTCACAAGTCGAAGGAAGTAGGGCCGGGGCGCGCTGGAAGGAAGGGCGGCTCGGCGGCTCGGCTGCTGGGCAGCGTGGCGGCTCGGCGGCTCGGATGCTGGGCGGCTCGGCGGCTCGGCTCCTGGGCGGCTCGGCGGCTCGGCTGCTGGGCGGCGCGGCGGCTCGGCTATTGGGCGCCTCGGCTGCTGGGCTGTTGGCGGTGTAGAAGGGGCCGGTAGAGACGGCGACGGGGCCGCTTAGGGCGGCGACAGGGCCGCAAGGGTCGGCGACGGGGCCGATAGGGCGGCGACGGGGCCGCTTAGGGCGGTGACGGGGCCACTAGGGTCGGCGACGGGGCCGGGGGGCCGCTAGGGTCGGCAACGGGGCCGGCAGGGTGGCGACGGGGCCGTGAGAGGGGCCGCGAGGGGCCGCGAAAGGGGCCGCTAGGGGCCTGAGGAGGGCGCGACGGGCCGCTAAGGGCTAGGGACGCGACGGGAGGGAGGGCACACGGGGCGCGACTCGGGCAGGACAGAAGCGCGCTCCGGGCAGAAAAATTTTAGTGGTGGGCCCTTAGGAAGCGTTCCCACTAGGGAACCTGCTCGATACCATGTGAGAATCTGAGGAAGGAATGATTGCATTGAGGAGCATGACGAGTACAAGAAAGAAACCCTAAAGTGTTGTACCCGATATAGACTACCTCACTACAGCCTAAACAGACTATAGCATATAAGTTCAACAACATCCACTCTTATAACGAGAAACTCTTTTCCAGATGTGTTAAAATATTTCTAAGTAGTTTAAAAAAGTTTCCATTTATAAGACTTATAAGACACCCAAAACCTTCCCCAAATACAGGATAATCCACGCATTTTTTTAAATGTATGAGATAAGACATATATGTCTTATATCCGGGCGATGACGGTAGTCGCTAAGTAATTCGCTACCCTTGTAACAGCCGTCCCAGTGCACAAGGCGATTTTTCCTAGTCGCAACAAAGCGAGCCAGGACACTGAGACGGTAAGAAAGGTACGCGGAGGCTCCACATTTTCAGCAGAGGATGATCTTGAAACAAGGAGTACGCACATGCGACACGAGGTACGTATCATGACTATACACACAATTTCACCACTCTGTGAGGTCAATTGTAAGGAATTTTCCCGAATTCCTTATCGGAGTTGACTGCTTCGCGTACAACCCGATTTTCGGAGTTCGCACGTTCGGCCGATTTCAACGCTGCCGAGGCTCCTCGCGTTGCCTTCGGCATTTCCATCGCCAAACCTGCACCCAACCTCGCTCGTCCGAGGTTTCCTCTTGTTACGATGTGAAGTTTTATGAGAAGGCATTCGTGTATGCTGCAGGAGCCGACTCTACCGAGTACGAAGTTGAGGAGTCAGAAGAGCCGAAGCGACGCAGCAACCGTCAGACCCAGACCGATGGAGGCAGAAACATTTGAAGTGAAAAGAGTGGAAACATATTTTGAACGGGTTCCCGCGCCGCACGGTTTTGAATTCAGTTGTAATAAGGGAATAGACCCCTTAAAGTACATGGCTAGTCTATGTCTTTTCGTATTCCCTTGTACTCTTATATAAACTCGATGTATGCATGCTATTATCAACTCAGTCATTTACATTCACTCTGACCTGAGATTCAAACTTCCGCTGCAACACTACTCCGCGATCAACCCTGAGCGATCCTTCGATAAGTCCCACTTGGGATTGTAACACCTCTTAGCTAGGCTAGCCCTACATTAGTCTGTGCATTCATTGTATTCTCAGTTCATTCAATCAAAGTCTCGTTATTCGTTTACCTGCGCACTCTCTTTTACAAATCATAACATCAACTACTTCTGTAAGTCTTGGGTGCACCATCATTGCTGTTACATTTTGAGTGTGCCATCTTATGAACATTTCGCGAGATTTGCCAAAGGGTTACTGTCTTTTTTTTTTTGCTTATGTGAGCTATACACCAGAACAGAAGGGTACAACACATAAACAGTCGAAACTGTGCGCGAGAAGCAGGAGACCTGCCTCAGAAAATCCGATCCTTACACATGGATCCGGGGCCTGTGTGGCTTGCCCCAAATTGCTACAAAGTTGTTCGACCACCGCCAGCTCTTACCCTCCACTACTAGAATACGGCCCAGAAGCGAGAGAATTTCTCCAGACCCGGAAACGGTGATTTGCCGTTGCACACGTGGTCTCGAATTGCTACCGTGGTCGGACAATTAGATGATAATTGCTCGAGTGGTCTTGCCAGAGGTTTCCTCTAGCTTTTTTCTTATCCGGCACATTACCCAAAACCGGTTTTTAGCCCTGCTTTTCTTACGTCGTTCGTGTCTCTTCCCGCAAAAACGTGGCGTGTGTTTTTCCGCCCGATTTTTTCGGCTGAGTGACGTGCGCGAGGGCGGCCACGTCACCGTTCGAATACACGACAACAATCAACACGATCATCTTGTCAAACATTATATACCGTATCACCCCGGATATAAGCGCCATGGCGCTTATAATAAAATCGATTTTTTTAAGGGTGGCGCTTGTAATTGAATAATGGCCATAAGCGCCGGCGCTTATATAATGGTAAAAATGAATTTGCATAATTTAGGCATCAAATCGAAGCCCGTATTAAGGCGAACAAGACTGTGTAACGTGCGCATGGCATCATGCATGGAAACACGCCGAAAACAGACGCGCTTCGGTTTCCAACCGCACAAAGCCCGTCCAGGAGCAGCTCACCTGCCAGCGCTGATGCGAAACTTGCCTAGCGGCCCAATCAGGCTTTCGTGTGCTGGGTGGCAGCAGAATCCTCACCCGAACCATCTAGAAGCGGCCATCATGCCCTGCCAGCGCAGCATCGTGCGTGGCGCTAAACCCTCCTCTCCGGGTTCAGACAGGGGACACCCGTCTCTCCTCGACGAGGACCCCGTGGCGCTAGCCAGAAGGGGTCCCTTTGAATCCTTCATTTGTTCATTGCTTCTTTCAGTTTTTCGTTCTTGGTTCTTGATCTCTCCCGCCATGCTGCGGGAGCTATGGCGGAATTCACCGGGGTTCACTTCTTGTTCAAGAAGAAGCCTCCACGGAGGCCCGCGTTTAGAGTAGACGAAGACGGGTGGTACTCCCGCGTCCCACCATCTCCACCTAAGCCACCACAGCCTCCTGCGCCTCCTGCGCCTCCTGCTCCTCCTTCGCCTCCTGCACCTCCTGAGCCTCCTGTTCCTCCGACTCCTCCGTGCTCGCATAGTGCTGCGCCTCCGCTACACGCTGGATCAACGCCCGTGCTGACGCTGCTGCTCCCATCGTCGTTTGACGAGTACCTCTCCGAACCCGAGTCTAAGAAGCCGCAAGATGAGTGGGTGGAAGTGGAGCACGTTCCTGGTTCACGGTGGGGACAGCGTGACGACTGCCCGTGGGACGAATCGCAAGTCGGCGCCGACGATGATGTTGAAGCCGAAGCTGACGCTGACGAAGAGGAAGCGAGCGGCACTGTCGGCGGCGAGTATGGCACGGAAGCGAGCGGCAGGGGCGGCGCCGAGGGCGGCTCCGCTGAAGATGTTTTTCCCGAAGGCGTTCCCGGCGACGATGCCGATGACGGCGTGGAGTACTGGTCACGCGACGGGCTTCCCGAGACCCTGCCGATACCTTCCTATCCCCCGATGAATCGCAAGCGACCCCACCCCTCTTCCCAGAACCGTGATGCCCGCCCCCCCTCTCCCAGGCACAAGCTCACTGAGCACAAGAGGCAAGGTTACACCGCCGCGGAGAAGTTGAAGTGGGTTGCCAGGCTTGCTGTGGCAACGTCGGTGCGCGCTTTGGCTCGCGAGAGCGGAATCCACCCCAAGTGCCTCACGAACTGGAAGCGGGCGGCGGAGTTCCTCAAAGACGTGCACCCCGCTCGGAAACGCATGCACGGCCGCGGTCGGGCGTCGTGGTATCGGCCTATGGAGTTGAAAGTGTACGAGAAGCTTCTCGAGTGGCGCCGCAAGGGAACCGCCGTATCAGTCGGCCGCCTGCAGGAGTGGTCGCGGGAATACATGAAGCTGCTGTACCCGGACAAGCCCTGGAAAGGGAGCCAGAGGTGGTCGGAGCGCTTTCGGCGACGATGGAACCTGAGTGTCCGCATGAAGACCCGGGTTGCCCAGAAAACCCAGTCGCGTAAGAGTTACCCCATGTACTTTGCCGTGTTAATGTTTACTTGTTTTACCGGTACTAACACCCGCCATCTGTGACCGTCCTGCCTTCCACCTCCCTTCAGATGTCGCGGAGCAGTGCAGAAGCTTCTGGAAGTTCGTGCGTGGCATGCGTCGTGAGCGCGGCATCGACACCGCGTGGATCATCAACGCGGACCAGACGCCGCTCTGGCTGGAGATGCCCGCCACCACCACCGTGGATGAATCGGGTGTTCGCTCGGTGCCTATCAGGAGCGCGGGGTATCAGAAGCAGCGTGTGACGGTGATGTTGGCGTACGGCGGACGGACAGAAGCTGAAGCCGTGGGTGTACTTCAAGCGCAAGACCGTGCCAAAGGGCAATTTCCCACCCGGTACGTCAATTGGTGCACTGCTCGTTAACTGCGGTTTGTTCAGACTGCGAATTCTAACTGCTTCTCTTGTTTCCTGCAGATGTGGTCGTGGCTGCACACGAGAACGTGTGGATGGACTCCGCGGGTGTCGTCCGCTGGCTTGAGGAGGGCGTCAAGCCCTTTTTAAAGCCCAGGTTCGGTAGATGCGCCTAGAGCTCGATGCTGGTGCTCGACTCTTACCGCGGTCACCTCACCCAGGAAGTGAAGGACAAGCTTCGCGAGATGAACTGCGTGCCGGCAATCATCCCGTCGGGCTGTACGGTGGAGGTTCAGCCCCTGGATGTCTCCATCAACAAGAGCTTCAAAGCGTCGGTCCGCCAGCAGTACCAGCGGTGGTTTGAGGCAGAAGGGCAAGAGCAGCTGACGACAGCAGGTATGGAATGAGCGCGTTGTTGTGTTTCAACCCCCCCTTCCTTTTGCT